TTTAATGATAATACAACACGTTTTCTTTTCGATGACATATCGGTAATATTAAAAATAAATACTGTATTTAAATCGTGATCAAATTTTCAAGAAACAAACGTTCGTATTGAATTTGGACTACTACTGACCAGTGCTAACAGACTACTTATTGTTTAAAGAGCCCTCTGGTGGCGCAAGAAGACGGATTTTATAATATAAAAAGCAGTTGAAACTGCTTTTTATTTTATAAAATCCGTCTTCTTGCAATAAACAAACTATTACATTTTTATGAATAAAAATTTGACAAGCTATTTATCGTTTTAAGACGAGTAAAATTTTTTGTCGCGTTCGCGGTTTTAAGTAATGCATAAACCTTCGAGGCGCGAGGCCCTTCGGTGCATAGGCGGTGGCCCATGTCNCTATTTATCGTTTTAAGACGAGTAAAATTTTTTGTCGCGTTCGCGGTTTTAAGTAATGCATAAACCTTCGAGGCGCGAGGCCCTTCGGTGCATAGGCGGTGGCCCATGTCGTCCATGCCTTACGCCGACCTTGGTCATAGAAATGATGTAATTTGAATATAAATTATTTATAAATACGTAGTAAAATTTATATTTTTATTACGACGTAAAATATATTTAAGAGTTTACGATCACTGGATGAGACGTTGCTGAAACAAAAAAAAAGTTATGAATTCCATTACGTACATAAACAGTGTCGTAATTCGCCAAGTGCAAATCAGCAAATTCGTAAAATTTTTGTTTATTTTGAACAATCCGGATAATCGAAAATCCGGATAATAGAGGTCCGGATAATGGAGGTTCTACNAAAAACTAATACATATATATTGTATTTATTTTATCACTTCATACATCAAAATATTATTACTGATTTTTCTGTTGTTTTGAAACGAATAAGAAACTGACATTATATATATATATATATATACAGACACACACAAATATTTAATAAGAATTTCGATATAAAAAAAAACTTGTGCCTTGATAATATACTTTAACAAATTATTTAACACATTCAAAAAAAAAAAATCAGCTTTTTATCAGAACTTCTAAAATAATTATAATATCAGACAGGGAAAGTACAAAATAAATACGGGTACTGTAAATTGTTTAAATAAAAAATTTTGTTTTATAGTGTAATAAAATTTACAGCATTTAGACATCTTTCCAACATTTTCATATATTGTACAGTACATGTGTAAAATACAAACATCCTATTTACATTCAAAATAATTATGCTGGAAAAAACTTCCAAAAATGATTTTCAGTACAAATATCCACTGAAATTATTTTAAGATTAGTAAAAGATCAGTAAATAAAATTTTGTTTATGTATATTGGGTTGATGTAAAAGTTTCTGGAATTTTCTAGAGTTTTATAGTACTGTACAGCATTTATTTCAAAAACAAAAAATAGTTTGATTAGTAAAAGATCAGTAAATAAAATTTTGTTTATGTATATTGGGTTGATGTAAAAGTTTCTGGAATTTTCTAGTTTTATAGTACTGTACAGCATTTATTTCAAAAACAAAAAATAGTTTATTCAGTAAAATAATTGCCATTACAATCAAGCACCTTCTTCCATTGATTGGACAGGTTACAGATTCCTACACATTAAAACTCAGGTTGCTTTGTCATGAAGAACTGAATGTGATTTTCATCTTATCATCAGCAAATTGCCTTCCATCCAAGAAGTGTTGAATGGAGAAGAGATGGTAGTCAGAGGGTGCAATATCTGAGCTATATGGGGAGTATGGGAAAACCTCCCAGTTGAGATCAAGCAGATTCTGCTTGGTCAACCTTGATAGAAGGTCTTGCATTATAATAAAGAAAGTATACAATATTCATCTGTGGACAAACTATAGCGGATAGGTCACAACCAATTGTCTCATTTTTTGNTCCATTACGTACATAAACAGTGTCGTAATTCGCCAAGTGCAAATCAGCAAATTCGTAAAATTTTTGTTTATTTTGAACAATCCGGATAATCGAAAATCCGGATAATAGAGGTCCGGATAATCGTGCTTCTACTGTAATTGGCAACAGATGTGTCTCTGGGAACTACTATCAAAAATTTTTGATTGGTAGAAAAAAATAATGTGATTTGGAGGTGTGACTCAAAGACAAGAAGTCGTCGAGAGTTCGCGAGGTGCTCTGAAAAAGAAAGAGGTGTATTGTTGTCGTCCAGGCTATCCGGAATTCCCTATCCTGTGTTTTAAGAACATCGTCGAACTGCCCGGATTAAATCCTCCAGTTCTCCATCGCTTCCTCGATTGCCATTCAAGAAAAAAAAAACCCTCAGCCGCTCTTGGATTCCGTCCCGCCGAGCAAACGACCGAAGTCAGCAATCTGAAAATCTGCACAATTATCAGTGTATCAACTCGCGATTTCTTGTAAACTCTCACTCTCGACCGCTATTCAATAGCATAGAGCTATGCATTTTTTTGTTTTGTTTTGTTTTTGTTGAATTAAATCAGTTATTTTTGTTGTTAATCTTGTATTTTGAATCAATTCCGATCCGTCTTTCAACCCTCCTCCATCCCGAATCTGATCGGCCGCATACGTGACCGCTCGCGCATGTTCTACAGTTGCGGTTTCTGTGTCTATCATAAATATACAGTGGTGTCATCCCTGACGAGGCACTAAAGAGGTGCCGACCCTCTGGTCACATACAAAATAGATAGCATATTTGAATCCTGTCTCGATTTCTAGAACACGTTATAAAAGCTTGTTCGCACAACACTGTATTGTAAAGTTTGTAAGAATTTATATCTTTATAAGATATAGATTTATTCGGTGTAGTCAGCCATTTGACGATAAAAGTGTTTGGCGATGACAGTTTCATTATAACTATACAAAATCACCATAATTACTACCTTCTACGAATGAAATTCAACATGGTTTAAACATAAAACATCTAATTTCTAAAAACAATATAAATTGATAAATTATGAATTTTATATTAAAACAGAATAGCGTTAACAATTATAACATTAAAAATTCTTAATGATTATATTTACTTACTTTTCTGAACTTGATTATTTTTCCGACTATGAAAGTAATGTATTATCACTTCTACAAAAGCAATTAACATAAATTATAGGCTCGTGCGCAATTTCCATTAAGTGACCAATTAAATTTACTAATAAAATAATTTATGTTTACTTTAAATAAATTTGACA